AGAATGAAATTGAAAGATGCCTCAAACTTTTTGGTCAGGCAGCAAACCCAGCAATGAATACTGTATCAACTACTAAAGCATGATTAGTGAGTATATTGAGGAAGTATAGGTTTGAAAGCGGATCATCTGATACTGAGGTTGGTTATAGATGATCTTGTTCATCATTGAAATACTTTCATGCATAATTTATTTTTATTTTTGTAGATACAATTAAAAAAGAAACAAGGTTTTACTCAGTCTCCAAAAGATTGTTTTTCTAAGAATGACTCCCTAATAAAATCAGTTGGAATTAAATTTTATTTTTATTTTCGGGTAGTTTACAAGCATATTATTTTGAAATTTTTTTGCAAAATAATAATAAGTTTCTGTAATTTTGATTAGATCAATCTCAAGGGCGTGGTGTAGCCCTGCCTTAAAACCACGTGGAGTCATCATGAGAATTTTTTATACTCCTGAACCTGGATTTCCTATTTTTGACACAAGATAAGGGAGCTTCTGATTGGCTGAAGGTGTTTAGTTGCTCCTAGTGAGTCAGAGAGTTGTTCCAGAGGATAATGGATTTCATGCTTACCTCAATGGACTTTCTTAGTGTGGTGTTGTCCTTGGAGAGACTAGTTAGAGAGAGAATAGTATACATATACTTTTGTTGCATAGAAAATCTGAACCAATTCCAATCATAGATCAATGGTCTGACTAGTCTTGCCCCGCCCCTCCACAGGTAGCGAAAGGGCAGGACGAAACTATGTTCCGATAAAATCTGGAATTTTTTAATTTGTTCAAAAATGGGCCCAAAGTCCCTGTATTATAAGTCAAGAAAGTATGGCTGCAATTGGTTCATGGTTCTATGTGCATGTATATAGCTACTGTATAAAGCAGTTAAAACAATGCATGTCATGTATAAAAACCAGGAGGCTATAAAGTCTGCCCCCTATATACCACTACTATAAGGAGGCCAGAGTGACTTTCTCCCTTTCCTATTGACTGCAGTCAGTAAAGTCTTCAAGATTATTTCATTTTTAATGACAAACATCTTAACTTTTACTAAACTCAACTATTATAGATGCATGCACATCTTGACATAAATTTGGAACCTTAAAAATTAAAATTTTAATTAGAATTTCTACACAACGTATTTTGTATAATTAATTATAAAAAGATGTGTGCACGTGATGGTGGCTCATTTAGCAGTGCTGCACAGCAGTAGTTGTAGAACTGGCAATGACAGTTCAAATCGTCATAAATACATGCAATCAAAATTTAAAAGAATTATTTTTCAAAAAAATAAAACTAGTATATAAATCTCTAGCTTCAGTCTTGAGTATCAATCCACTTCACATTTCATTTTTATTGCAGCTTGAACCTATCAATGATAATATTAAATTCCTTACACAAGCTTACTGTTATTATTGTTATTCTTCTTTTTGTATGTAGTGCTCTTAGCATTACTAGCAGTAGTAACCACTAGTGATCCCAGGCAGCGCCACGTGGAGGCGGCACTACATTGCTGCCCAAAAATGAAAACAACCTGAGGCCCTAGTCAAGCGGCTGACACTCGCAGGCCGCATGACTACTGAGGCCCCAGGTTGTAAAAAATAATAATAAATAATAATAATAAATAATAAAAATAACAAATTATAAACGATAATAATAATTAAATAATAATAAATCATAAAACCTAGATCTATAACCTATATCTACACTATATAACCT